GGTTCCTACATCCTTTTTTATGCTTACTGTCTCTGTTGACATTCTCCCTGAGTTGATCCATTCTTCCTCTAAGTTCCTTGAGCGTCCTTATAGCCATTGTTTTGAACTCTGTATCTGGCAGATTGCTTGCCTTCATTTTATTTTATTTTTCTGGGGATTTCTCCTGTTTTTTCATTTGGGGCATGCATTTTTGTCTCCCCATTTTGGCTGCCTCTTTGTATTGGTTTCTGTGCATTAGGTAGATATGCTATGTCTCCCAGTCTTGCTATGGTTTCCTTATGTAGTAGGTTTTCTGTGGGGCTCAGTTGCATCTTCCTTATCATCTGAGCAAAGTGTTCCAAAAATGTCCCTTGTGTGGGTTATGAGAGCCCTCCTGTTGTAGTTGACTTTTGACTGCTGTTGGCCCCTCTGTGTGTGGGGTCTACCCTCAGGGTGGTTGACTGTGAAGCTCAACTCCAACCACAGTGTATGAGCCTTTACCTCATGAAGTAGAATTTGCCCCAGCAAGTTCTGGTGCATGCAGAGAACATCTTTTGGATGTGCCACTTATCAAGCTAAGTGGTCCTACTCTTATGAAACATGAAACCCACCACTGAGTGTGTAGGCATCTTGGGAGGGACTTCTGTGCAGGTTGATGTCAAGACACTCCCTGTGACTGGCCCTGGGCTACCTGTTTGGAGTACAAAGCAATTCATAATTTATGACTGCCTCTGCTTGGCCTTGGTGTGTGTGGGAAGGGCCAAGGTGTGCACCAAGGCTAGCTTCCACTAGCACTGAGCCCAGGGGTAGGTCAGCAAAAGGCCCAAGGCTCCCTGAGATCCACCTCCACCTGCCTCTACCTGCTGGCCACCTGTTAGTCTCAGTCACTGAAAGAACCTCTGGCTATACATGAGTAACATGGGGTAGGTTCTCAGTGAGTCACCAGGTAGGGTGAGTATTATTCACTGGATTGAAAGAGATTCAAACTCAGTGCCTATGCTGGGTCTGAGGCCACTCAGCAAAATTCCCAGGGTACACCAAGGTCAGGTGCCACCCACCAGGTGTCCAAAGACCTTTGTGATGGGGCATGGTCTCAGGGAGTTGTTACAGTGACGCTAGCAGAGTTCATCAAGTCAAAACAGACCAAGATTTCGTCATGTAAAGGGAGGTCTCTGCATAGGAACAGTGAGCCAGTCAGGCATGCCAAGGTACTAATGACCCCTACCCTAGAGCTACAAAACTCAGTTTGTCCCTGATTCTGGATGGATCTTTTTGAAAACCTTTGCTTGGCAGGGCAGGGACACCAAGAGTCAGGAGGGTTTGGCTAGTTGATCTCTCATGGGTTGGTAGCTCCATTCAAGCTCACAGGAATAAACCACACACTCAGTCTCTGACACTTCCTGAGTCCACCTGGACCTCTACACTAAGGCCTAGACAGCTGACTCCTCTGAAGAGTGATAACTCTGCTGAGCAGGCTGACAGAGTTGGGACAGTGAAGTTATTGCATTACCCCAGGCTGATGCCATATGGAGGGGAGTTCTAGACCTAAGAAAGATGGTGTCTGTGGATGGTGTGGGAGAGGGACTCAGCACAGGGACCATGTGGTTGTCCCTCCGGATCTCTCTCCAAAGCCGTACAACCCAGTTTTTGTTCACATGACTCTAGTCTGCTCTGAGTTAGAGCCTAGGGTTAGTGGTTATGAAGGAGATTTTGTGTACTAGTCCTTTAAGAGGGTGCCTGGTGGACAGAATCCCCACTGATTTTTACAGCCAGATGTTACATGGGTTCCTCTTCCCTGCTCTGGTGATCTGGGCTGGGGAACCTAGCATGGATTTGAGACCCCTCACTCTTCAGATGAAACCTTCGCAGCTGAAATATCCCTCCAGGTTCTCAACTGCTGCACTTGGGTGCAGGGCAAATCCTTTTCACATTTCCGCACTTCCTACCAGCCTCGATGTGGCTTCTTCTGTAAATCCTTGGTTATAGCACTTCACTTCAGCTAGTGTTCAGCTGGTTATTCAAGTTGATTGTTCAGTATTTTAGTTGTAATTCCAGTTTGGTCCTGGGAGGAGCTGAGTGTAACTTCCGCCTACTCTGTGCCATCTTGGATTCCCTGAGCCTTTTCTTCTTTAAAGCATTAATTGCTTTTCTTGGGTAAACAAAAATTCTGAACATCTCCTGTGATGCCAATTAAAATGACATCTCTAAAAACTAGTGAGTAGAATCCTTGTTTCTCATTTTCCTTTACCAGTTTTCTTTCAAATGGGATTGTGCTAAGAAATCAGAATTGCTTGTTCGACCAAATTGCACAATTTACAGAAACTTCTGGTGTTAACGCTTCCGAAATCTCATTGACTGAACTCTTCCTTCCATCAAATATTTTTAGTAGAGTGTGCTGAAAACAAAGTAAGCGCAATTGAATTTACAGCTGTGGAGATACATTTTCAGAGATAGCTGTTTGAATGTTCTTGTAGCTTAAGACAAGAAAGTACCAGAGAAAACCTGGCATTATCTCAGGAAGGAATGGGATCAAAAAGAATAATCGTAATACGCTTTGGCCCAGTTATGTTCATAGCTTGAGGGACATCCTGTTTCCCCAGTTCTGGCTAATTCAGATACTATTTTGGAATTAATGAGGCCTCAATTTATTTATTTATTTTTTAATCCTCACCTGAGGTTATTTTTTCCATTGCTTTTCAGAGAGAGTGGAAGGGAGAGAGAGAGAGAAAGAGAGAGAGACATTGATGTGAGAGACACAGCAGTTGGTTGCCTCCCACATGCACCCCAACTGGAGCTGGGGAGGTACATGCCCTTGACCGGAATTGAACCTGAGACCCTTCAGTCTGCAGGCTGACACTCTAACCACTGAGCAAAACCGGCTAGGGCAATGAGGCCTCAATTTTTATAAGAAGTGCCATTATCACATTTGTTCTCAGAACCCAAAAGATTTCTGAGCCTCAGCTAATAACCATTGATTTCAAGATGTATGGTGGATGGTAATAAATGTTTAAACCAAAAAAACTCACTAGATTATGTCTGAGTTCATTGCAATGAAATTTTACTATTTTCCCCTTCCCCCCTTTTTTTTTATGATTTCCTGTTAAAGACCTTTACTTTTTAATTCATTCCATTCATGTGTTGTATTTTTTTATAAAATACTTCACTGATTTCCAAAATAAAAAGAACACTCATCATCTCTTCATTCTTTTCATTATAGTTTGTTTTCCAATGTACAGATCTGAAGACAGTTTTTATATTCCTTCTCATTTTTCAATGGAATAAATTCCCTTTAATAAAAACATGGCTACAAATCAGCCATTTTTAAAAAACTTTTTTTTTTTTTTTTAAATATGTCTTTATTGATTTCAGAGAGAGGAAGTGAGAGGGAGATAGAGAAATATCAATGATGAGAGAGTTACTGATCAGCTGCCTCCTGCACATCCCCCACTGGGGATCAAGGCCGAAACCTGGGCATGTACTCTGACAGGGAATCAAAGCTTGATCTCCTGAATCATAGGTCAGTGTTCAACCACTGAGCTATGGTGGCCAGGCTAAAAAACATTTTTTATCTCTTCTGCTAATTCTTTAGAAACTTTGGAATTTGAGTTCTTTAATAATCTTTTGTTCTTTTATTATTGCTACAAACTTTAGCTCAAGCCTCCAATTCAAATATAGTAATAAATACAATTTTCAAGATAGAATTGTAATGTAAGCTAATTCATTTTATTTCCAGCAAGCTCAGTATAGTTTATCTTTTGAACAACTACCACTTAGTTTGGTCTTGGTATGCCTGCAAGTGGATTTCTGTTAGCTGCTTTGTGGTGTTTCTCTATTTATTAATATTCTACTTTATACTTTTGCTTGTGAGATAATTGTAACTCAAATTTTAATATGAGAAGATAAGATACTGATGATTTAGAAAGATTTACTCCCTTCTTAGGAAAGAAAAGTTAATGAGTTGAATTTTGAATTTGTTTCCACTAGGAGAAAATGTAGTTAAAAAAAACCTGTATTATAAAGAACTTTTTGTGGACCTACTGAAATTTGAGGTCTGCACATGAATGAGTGAAATAACAGTTTTCAAATGTAAATTGGGTTTTTTCCCCATTCCAACTTGATTTCCTTGTACAAGTAATGCTTATTCAAGGTCATAAGATTAAAATGGAAAATAGTGTACTGATAATTTAATATGAGCTTTCTGTATAAGGAGTCAGTTATTTTATTTGTTTGAATTTAGAATATGTTTATTTTGGAGTACCTGAGATTTTACTCCCTGAGTAGATTTAGCTATAACTAATGAGGAAGCTCCATTGCTTGTCAAATATAACATTTAATTATCTGAGCCTATTAACTTTTTATTACTGTTTAATTCTAACAGATTTTTTGCTCTCAGCTTACAGCTGGCCATTAAACAACACGGGTTTGAACTGGACGGGTTTACTTATAAGCAGATTTTTTCAATATATACTATATATTTTCTCTTTTATATGATTTTCTTAATAGCATTTTCTTTTCTTTAATAATTTTTTTTAATGCTCACCAAAGGATATGTTTTTATTGATTTTAGAAAGAGAGGCAGGGAGAGGGAGGAATACAGAGGGAAACATCAATGAGAAAGAAACATCAATTGGTTGCCTTCCATATGCGCCCTGACCAGGAATCTAACCCTTGACCCTTCAGTGCATGGGATGATGCTCCAACCAACTGAGCCCACATTGGCCAGGGCGCATTCTCATTTCATTAGCGTACTTTATTATAAGAATACAGTATATAATACATATAACATACAAAATATGTGTTAATTGACTGTTTATGCTATCAATAAGTTCCAGTTAGCAGTAGGCTATTAGTAGTTAAGTTCTTGGGGTGTGAGACGTTATATGTGATTTTCAGCTGTGAAGGGGTTGGTGCCTGTAACACACATTGCCCCATCCCCATTGTTCAAGAGTCAATTGTACTTGAAAAACACGAATATTTGTAAAGTGGTTGTATTTGTGAAATGTGCATGCCTGTCTTTATAGGATCCTTTGGTCATACTATTAAAAAATATAATTCCTTTGGTGATCTTATTCAAGTCTTGGGTACCCCAGGCAAAAAAGGCACTGGTTTGAACCCCCTGCAGTTTGACAACCCTGCAGAATTATATATAGAGAGCACAGGAGATATTTACATTGTGGATGGAGATGGAGGACTGAATAACAGATTGATCAAGTTGTCCCAAGGTACATTAATTTTAATGGTATTATATAAGAACATTATTTAATAAGTTTTATTTAATTTGTTTGATACTTGGTATAATGCTATAACTATTGAATATGAATCTGTAAAGGGCTCAAGTGTATTACCAGGAAAAAATCAGAACAGCTATGTGGGATGGCCAGTGATTCTGCTAATAGATTTGCTTATTCTTCACCAAAAGCTAGGTGTTTCCTTTGAAATGAACTGGAGGCAGTTTGAGAAGTTATAGTAGGTTGAAGAAAAAGTTGTTATTCTATCCTATTAAGGATTGGGAGGTCAGAAACCTGACATTTCAGAGCTATAGTGAAGGTTGATTGATCGGCAAGTGTTGTTTGTTTGTTTGTTTTTAATCCTCACCTGAGGTTGTTTTTCCTTTGCTTTTAGATAGAGTGGGGGGGGGGAGGGGGATAGAGAGAGAAACATTGATGTGAGATACACACATAGATTGGTTGCCTCCAGCACACACCCTGACTAGGGTTGCAAAATGAACCAGCAACCCAAGTACATGCCCTTGACCAAGAATCGAACCTGTGACCCTTCGGTCTACAGTTCTAACCAATGAGCCACGGGCCAGAGTGATCAGCAAGTGTTTTATTGAATTCCCTGCTCTGCATCCTCAGTAGTATTTTAGGTGTAGGTTTATTACAAATGAAACAGTTAAATGCTATTTTGTGGTATTGATTGTTAATAAGATTAATAAAATTATAAAAGAAAATTAGGAGAAGAAACTACTGTTGCCTGGAGAAGTTCAAGAAGGAAATAGTTCTTGCACTAAACTGTTTCCGATTGGAGAAGAGCGAGACAGAAGTATTCACAAGCCTTTATCACACAAAGTCTACAGGTGGTGATAATAGGTCTTCTTTAGGAAAGGATCTTAAGGTGCACTTTATGAATAGTAGAAAATAAGATTTGGTATATACTCGAGAGCTTATGTTGGGAAAATTTAGGGCCAAGAAACCAAAAAAAGGCTGACATCCCACATTACAACTAGAGTTTCTTGAGGGAACTTACATAGAAGGCACATCCCAGGGAGACAACAAGATGATACGGATGTCCTCCAAGCTGCATGGTAGGTGCTAAAGGATTCTCTAGAACAGGGCAGAATGAATAGGGGTACTAAGAGAAAAAGACCTTGCATACTTTTCATGGGCAGGGCAACTGCCTGTTCCAGGAACCAGCATGCCTTCGGGCATGGGGGAGAGGCACATCAGTCTCTGAGAGGGTTTATGAGAACCAATATTTGTTCTGGGCCACATCTAGCTCATGGTTTGGCAGTGGTCATGTCATGGAACAGTCTCTCCTCCACAGTTTATTTAAGGATTTGAAGCCACAATTTGCCTATAAAGAGTCTTCGGCCCTGGCTGGGTAGCTCAGTTGGTTAGACCATCATCCCGATATGCCAAGGTTGTGGATTCAGTCCCCAGTCAGGGCACATATGAGAAGCAACCAATGAATGATAAATAAGTGAAACAACAAATGGATGTTTCTATGCCTCTCTCTCCTCTCTCTCTTTCTCCCTTATCTTTCCCTGTAACAAATTCAATAAGTAAAAATTTAAAAGAAAAAGTATCTTTCTGGTTTTTTAGTAGAGAAGTAATGTTACAGAAGCAAAGTTTTTGTAAGATACAGCACTATATCAGGATATATTCACCGTAAGCTCTGTTGTGTGGGAGCAATATAGTTAATTTATCACCTAGTAACTGAATTTGGTTGGTGATAGTTAAAGGGAGGTGAGGTGGGAATAAAGTAAGAATCCAAAAATTTCTATGAAAGAAACAAACAAATTTAGGAGACAGATTGAATGAGGGTGCATTAGCTTCTGGTTGCTGTAACAAATCGCTACAGATTGGGAGGCTTAAAAAATGTTCCCTTGTGGTTTTGGAATCCAGAAGTCTGAAATCCATAGGGCAGGTCATTTTCCTTCTACAGGCACTAGAGGAGAATCCTTCCTTGCCTCTGTCAGCCTTGGGTGTTTCCAAACATTTTTTGAATTTTAGCAGCCTCATTCAGTCTCTGCCTCTGTCTTTACAAGGCCTTCTTCACTGTGTCTCTGGGTCTCAAATCTCCCTCTCTTTTCTCATATAAGGACACTAGTCATTGGATTTAAGATCCACTCTAAATCCAGGATCATCTCATCTCAAAATTCCTAACTTAACTATATCTGCCAAGACCCTGTTTCCAATAAGATCGCATTCATAGGTACCGAAGGTTGGGACTTGGGACATATCTTTTCAGGGGGCTACAATTTAACTCACTACAGAGTAGTAAATGAGGCAGACTATAGAAACATAACGTGAATATTTAAGCTCAGAGGAATGGTAATACCAAAGAACAGATTAGTTAGCAAGGGGAACCAGTTTAAGGAAGAAGTTGACATGAACCCTAAATGATTTTGAGTGATGAAAAATTCACATGGAGATAATCATTAAAGAAGTAAATCAATTACTTGAAACAAGGAATTTTGGGGGGTTTTTTGGTAAAGCATTAGAATTAGGCAAATGGGTATATAAACAGAAAGCAAAGAATAGGGTTATAATTGAATTGAAAAGTTTATTTGCATCCTGTTACATAAAATATAACATGTAAATGCATAAGGTATTCTATATGTTACCCTGACCATATATGTTTACCTCTTATAGATTTCATGATGCTTTGGTTGCATGGAGAAAATGGGACAGGGCCTGCTAAGTTCAACATACCTCACAGTGTTACAGTTGATTCATCTGGTCGAGTAAGTATACAGTGTCATTGTGTCTGGAACTGTGTGTCTGAATGTGTTTGTATGTGTGTGTGTCTAGGTGTATATAGCTGGGCTTGTACATATGGATCTTAGTGCACCTGTGCATGTCTGCACATCTGGATGTGCATGTATGTCGTTGATGTATATGGATGTGGATATGGATGTATGCATCTGGGTGTTTCTGGACAATACCTCTGGGACTGGCTTTACAGACCATACTCTCTTACAAATGTTTGAGTCCTATAATGAAAGGAGTTTCCCAGTATTTAGAAATGAGCAAAATAGATTTTCTATTCACTTAAAGGGTAGAAGGAACAAATAATGGAACAAAATGTAAGTAAAGTTACCTGATTTAGAAAAAAGAGTTGATCTCCTACTAGGAAAACTACCATGAGTATTTAAATATATTTTTAATTCTAGAATTAAACAAAGTTACTTCTAGAATGTATTGATCAAAAGAGAGATAGAAGAGGTTAATCTTGGAAGCTTGAAAACAGAGCCACCTAGCCAAACTTTTGTTTTTACTAGCTGCACTCTGTCTAGGGAACAAATTGCTTTAAGTAGCAAATTGCAATTTATTTCCTTTTTTCCCACCCCTATCAAGTATCACCTCTTTTGCTTTTGTATACCTTTAAACATACATGTTAATTCTTTGGAGTTACTTTTCTATAACCAAACCCCAACGCCAAAAGTTTCTTCTGGTTTCCTATAGTAACCTGTACTTCCCCATTATAGTAACTATAATAGAACAATTTAATTGTCTTCCCAAATAAATTGTAGGCTGTGGGAGTGCACATAATGAATTTCTTTTATTTTGTATCTTAATGCCTAGCATGTAGTAGTCATCTTATGCATATTTGTTAAATGACTAAATGTCTTGGTGCATAATAGATGGATCAGACTATCTTTGCTTCATGCCATTAGAAATTTAATCCATTTCCACTTCTTATTCTGTGCTCAGCAAGCAACTTTCTGGATTATGATTTGCTTACTATGTTGACAAAGTGAGAATGTTTTGATCATAAAAATTTTCAAGTATTCGCATCATAGATAGGAAGATAACTGAACATGTGACCTTTGTATGTTAATTGGGAACTAGAGAGTTGGAACTAAGTACTGTCCTCATGGGAAAAGAACAAGAACAAGTCTCTGAGCATGAAGACTTAAAAGCCCAGGTAAATTGACCATGGTGAGAAATGTTATTTTGAGAGGACTTGAAGATCATTTGGTAGGCATACTGATATTACTGAGTGATAGAAAATGAGAGTTATTTCTGCATATTTAGTCCCAATCTTAGGGACTAAACTATGTTTCCTCCTTGATTATTAACCTAAGAAAATTACCAAAATCAATGACCTTACTTAGGGATCAGCAACCTTTCTCAAGTGATGCAATGAGTCTTTGTTTCTGATTGGAGATGAATTCAGTGGCTACCAAAACTTACACACTTTGATAAATATATAATCAGGGTTATCCTGAAAAATTAGTCCCTGAATCCACAAATCCCAGAAATCTAAAGATCCTGAAGGGGAGAGGTAGAGGTCAGTTGGGTTGGGCCACCCTTCTAGTCCATTCTTTATAGCTCTACAACCCTAGTCGCATGTCATTAAAAATGATTTCACTGTATGTATGCCATGAGTTTCATACATCAAGTACAATACTAGAAATGTCATTTAAAATGTACATTCTTGTTTTATAACAACAGTTTCCTTGACAACTTATTGCAGCCTATAACAAACCTAAACTAAACCTATTGTTAGTCTACTGTCATTCTTTACATGTAATTAAAATCTCCCACACTTCCTCTTTAAATGGTTCAGCACTTTGGATATATCTTGGTAAATAGCAGGTAAAGGTTTAATGATATTGCAGTGTGAATGAATTCCTGGCGTTCCTCTAGCCTGAGCTCCTGAGGAGCAAGGCTACTTTTCTTTGTCTTTGTTTTATTACCTGGCTCAGGAGCTGACGAATTGACAGGACTCAGTGACAGTGAATGTTTGTTAGAGGAATGAATGAATGCTGATGCTTCAGTATCTCCAAATCATCTGCATTATATTGGAGTACACTAGTTTTTTCGTTATTCAAATGTTTAGTATAGCAGTCAGAACATTATAGGCTTTGAGTTAAGAGAGATGGCCCATAAAGTGGTTCTCCCACTTGTTGTAAGCTCACTTCAAGATATTGTAACCTTTCTGAACTTTAATTTCCTATCTGAAAATGGGGTTTTTAATGATCTTATGTGGGGACCTTTAAATACTAAAATAAATAGCATATGTGCAATTAATAAAAGTAAATTTCATTCTCTCGCCCCTCTTTTTTTCTTCTCATTATAATGTGGATCTTTTCTAGCAAACACTTATGTTTTTATTTCTTAGGTGTGGGTTGCTGACCGAGGAAATAAAAGAATTCAAGTATTTGATAAAGACACTGGGGTGTGGTTAGGAGCATGGAATAATTGTTTCACAGAAGAGGGACCTTCTTCAGTCAGGTAATTGTTTCCTTTTATTTTAAAATCCTTGTTTTATGTGATTTATGTTAGGTTCTCTGAAAAGCTAGCTGAAAGTTTAAAATATTTTTTGATAATTTTAAGCAGGGAAAAAGGGGGGGAAAACCAGTATGCAGAAAACATATAATCATATTTTAAATTCTAGCTAGTTACATTCCCAGTGTACTGTGTGACTCAAGTACATGCTGGGCCTTTTCTAGAGATTTCCCTTGAGATACATTTGGTAAATTTTTAAACAGAATGAAAATGAAAGTCTTGAGCCTGTAGCCTAACATTGATTCTTTATTACATTCATTTTTTGTAGTAAGTACTATGATAATGCTATTTTTTATTAATTTAAGCTAATCTTTGTCTATGTCTACAATCACAAATGTCTTGTTCCCACATTAATAGAATTAGATCAATTTAAAATTCTCTTTAAAAGAACCCTTCAACACTCTTTTTGTCCTTCTCTGTGATCCTTTCTGGTTCTTGCTTTTAGTGACCCTCCCGTGCCTATGGTCCCTGCTCTTAAATCCTCAATAAAGTACACCCCCTTCCCCAATCACACTGTATCACTAGACTCAAAGTTTTATCATAGCCTCTGTAATTACTTGTCATTCTGTTTTATCTCAATTTTTTCATTGTTTTATTCTCCCACTAGAATAAAAGGCAAAATAGTAGATATTTGGGTTTCTTGCTCACAACCATATTCTTGGCATCTAGAATACTGTAGGCAAACTAGGAACTCAATATTTATAGAATCAGTGAACAAATCAATCAGTTTGTAAGCAATTTGGTATATATATTCATATGTGAACTGCTGTGTGATAGCTTTTTGCTCTTTTTTGTTGTTCTCTGTGTGTGCGTGTATGTTACATTATAAGTATATTGGGGGCAGGTAAAAACCAATCCAGCATATTATGAATCTAGAAAATGTGCTGCAAATAATTTATCAGTCAGAGGGCTAATAAAATAACTTGGGGAAAATAAAAATCTTCAGCAAGTAGGTGTCTGCTGTTGTTTAGCACTGTGGGGGATAAAAATGTTGAGAAAATAAACATGTATGATAATTTTACATTAATTTATTATGTAAAATGTCTTCCTCCTTAGATTTACTCCTGACGGGAAGTACTTGGTTGTAGCCCAACTGAATCTTAGCAGGCTCTTATTTGTGGCAGCACCCCCAGTGGGAAGCATTGGCTACTGTTCTGTGATAAGCTCAATCCAACTAGCAGATCAAGTTTTACCTCATCTCTTAGACGTCAGTGGAAAAACTGGAGCAATCTATGTAGCAGAAATTGGAGCAAAACAAGTACAAAAATATGTCCCTTTGAAAAGCTATTTCCCTTCATTCCACTTATAATGTTTATTTCCCTAGAGATCATTCAAATGAAGGTTCAGATTCTCAAATTCATTGTTAAATGCTTAAAAATAATGTTCAAGAGCAAGAATTCATTTTTTATTTTTATTTGTATCTAATCTAGTATCAGAAAATTTGTTTCTATAAAGTCATTAAGAATTATATGTTGCCCGGCCTGACGTGGCTCAGCAGTTGAGCGTCAACCTGGGATCCAGGCGATCGGGGTTTGATTCCCTGTCAGGGCACATGCCCGGGTTCTGGGCTTGACAAGAACATCATCATTGATGTTTCTATCTCTCTCTCCCTCTCCTTTCCTCTCTCTGAAATCAATAAATATATATTTTTTTAAAAAATAGAATTATGTGTTGTGTTGCCATTTTTGTGACTTAATTTTACTTATAAATATATAGGATACTTTAATGAAACAAATGTAACTCTAAAAAATATAGGGTCAGAAAGAGGGACTAAGGTTGTAACCTAGTTATTTGTCCTGGTAAACTACCCACGGATTGTGCGGGAATGGAACAAAATGAAAATAGGTTTTTAGGATAATTTATTGAATTTTATGTGAAGAACTACGAACCTCCAGTTACTTCATGGTATTCAAAATGAACTGCCAGAGAAATCAAGTCAAATGGGCTCCTGATTAATGAGTACTCCCAGAATGCTAGGTCCTACAGATTCTAAAATGAAGAGGGGGTATGGTGGCACTGTGAGAAGAAGCATAGCACCCTTGATCCCAGCCACAGACTCAATTTAGCACTAAAGTACTGTGTAACCAGTACTTGGAATAACCAGAGAAATATACCTGAGTGGACATATTTTGAGTGGACACAGAAGAAACATCATAGAATCTGGTAAGAGAGGGGATACATAGAAAAGGGAAGTCCCCTCTGAAGCCTGAGGCCCTAGGGTTAGAGGCTGCAAAGCTACCTCCCCTTGGGAGTATGGATTGGCATCCAAAAGCTGGGATCTCAATCCCTGAGCAGAAGAGAAGGGAAGGAGAGCCCAGCATGGAGGGAAGAGGGACCCAGGGGAACAATGTGCCTGAGAGGAGGGGACCGTGCCTTCCTAGTGAAACAAAGCTCCTAATGCTGGCCACAACAGGTGTCTTTCACTCAGGGTGCTGACCATAGGAAAGGCAGTCCCACAGTGTGTGGCTCCCAAATAGAAAGGGTCCAGAGGGTTGCACTAAGCAGCCACAAACAGGGACCCTTGGCCTTCCTGTAAGGCACTGTGTAGAACCCCAGGAAGCAATTGATCAGTGTGGCGCAGGGAAAGGGAAAAGATTCTTCTTGCCGCCAGAGATGGACTGGAGCTGCCTATGGGGTAGATTGGGTCTACAGCCACCTGAGCTGCCAGAGGGGCGAATCTAGGATTTTTTACCCTCCTTGAAGGGTACTGCAATAGCATGCAAGGAGCTGCCCCAGCTTTATTGGAATCAGCTCTGCAGGGGAGCTGCATGGGGCTGACTTTGTGACCCCTCCTGCTTGGTGCCTAGGCACAGGCATGGTGGGACCTTGCAGGGCAGATTCTCTGCCTGTGTGTTGCTTTAAGCATTTTTGAGTTTTTTATTGCTGAATGAGTGTCCAACTTCCTGGCTTGCATTGAGCAGACAGACCAGCTAAAGCTGGGATGTCTGCATTATGGAGAGTTTGAAATTAGCTCACCCTGTGCAATCAGCTAACTAGATCTGTGAAAGGAGGGGTATACTACGCCTACCTCTCCTTCATGCTAAGAGCACCACCCCCAAAAGGAAAGGAGCTGGTTCAGCTCACTGAAGAGCAGGTATGTCCCACAGGGCACAGGCCTGAGGGGGAATGAGAACAGCTCACAGGAGGATATTACAAGAAAAAGACTCTCAGGGACTATTTGGGAACTGGAGGAAAAGCTTAAAACCCCTGCTGGGGCCTGGGCAAGCACAGTGCTCACTGGAATTTTTTTTAATTAAACCCACTGAGCTCAGGTTGCTGAAACTGCCCATACAGAAAAGGCAACAGACTGAAGTCAATCTGAAACTGCAGCAGGCCATTGTATGGAGAACTGGAATTGGAGGATAGGGTACAGGCTGAGGAGCTGGCTTTGGAGCAGAGACTAACTTCCCTACAGTGAGTGCCTGACAGTGAAACCTCTAAGTAAGTGGACTCATCCTGAGTTTCACTAGCCATCCTGCACCCTAAAGACTCTTCAGAAGACTCTGTAGTAAGACCAGGAAACCACGAGGGGGATGTAAAATAGCTGACAAGTGGAGGTGGTCCACAGAGAATCAGTCAATGACCTAAAGACACTGGAGCCAAACCTAAACAGCTCTGGACATTGGCTGATGCTCAAGTACTTCCTAGGAGAACTGAAATCAGCATACAAAACAGTGAGTTGCAGACAACATAAGCTGCCCAGATTAAACTCACCTGATTGATTTTTTTTTTCCCTAGAAAAGAAAAAAATTCAAATTTTTTCTTTTTTTTTTTTTTTATGTTTAAAATTTTTAATTAATTTTTTAAAAATTTGTTTTGCTTTGCTTGTTTTTTTGCTTGGTTTTGTTTTACTTTTTCTTTCCTTTTCCTCTCTTCTGTCCACATATTTTAGTTTGGTTGTTAGTTTCTCTTTGTCTCTTTATTGTATTTTTATTTTCAACTATTTTCCTATTCCTACACTCTACCCTTAATTTTTTGCTCACCCTTCTTTCAGAATCTCATCTCTGTCCCATTTATCTCCCAGTAGCTTCTTTATTTTTTACTTTTAATTTTAGTTTATTATTTTTTTAATTCATTACTATTAGTAATAATATCCTTCTCTCTTGTCTTATTTTTTTTGCTTTAACATTTGTGTTCTCATGTCACTCTCCCAATTCTATTTTCACGTGGGATGTTTTCATTGTGATTGTCAAAATGTTTTGTAAAATACTGCTTATTTCCTGACATTATGATTCTGTATTGTCTTGCCTTGCCAGCACACCTAAAACAGCTCACACAACATGGTAGGAGATAAGACACAGCTAGCCAACCTGAGAGGAGGATCCTCACAAGAACAGGTCAACAACAATCTAGACCCAATCACAACAGAAGAGCTCAAAAAAAAAACATACAATAGGGGCACCCACAAAAGGGAAACAGAACAAATAGCTCAGAAGTATAAGGAAAACACACCTCTGGGCTCCACTGGACATACACTACAAAACCCCACCACACAAGACTGGGAGACAGCATATATCTAACATTTAGATACAAACACTAAGAGCCACCAAAATGAGGAGACAAACAGGCCCAAACTAAAGAAAAGGAAAAATCGCCAGAAAAAGGCCTTGATGAGATGGAGTTAAGGAAGTTATCAGAAATAGAGTTCAGAGTAATGGTTATAAAGATGCTCAAGGAAATTAATGAGAACAAGACACTTAATGGAAAGTTCCACGAAATTAGTGAAACATGAAAACAGGTAAATATAGGAATCAGGCAGAAATGAATATATCTGATATCAAGAATACGCTAGAAGGAATTAAAAGCAAGCTCAATGAAGCAGAGGACAGAATAAGTTACTTAGAAGATAAGGTAGAAAAAACATTCAGAGCAGCACAAAGAAAAAACTTAAAAATCATGAAGACAGTCTAAGTGAGATTTGTACCAACATGTAGTAAAACAATAATCACATCATAGGGGTACAGAGGGGGAGGAAAGAGCAAGGGATAGAGAACTTGGTGGAGGAAATAATGACAGAAAACTTCCGTATGCTGGCAAAGGAGAAAGCCCACAAATTCAGGAAGCACAGAGGTTTCCCAACAAGAGGGACCCATAGAAACCCACTCCAAGAGACATCATAATTAAAATGGCAAATGCCAAGGACAAATAGAAAATATTAAGAGCTGCAAAAGAGAGACAAGCAGTGATCTACAGGGAGCCCCATAAGGCTGATAGCAGATTTCCCAACAAATACACTTCAGTCCAGAATGGAGTGGCATGAAGTTCTCAATGTAATGAAAAGCAAGAACATGCTTTATCCAGCAAGGCTATCATTTAAAATTGAAGGTGAAATAAAGAGCTTTCCAGACAAAAGAAGGCTAAAGGAGTTCAATACCAGCAAATCAGCATTGCAAGGAATGCTTTAAGAAAACAAAATACTGAGAAAAGGGTACATTAGCATAAAGGGGGAAAACAGCATTAAATAAGTTTATATCTATAGTAACCTTAAATGTAAACAGAATCAGTGCTCCAATCAAATGGATAAAAAAAACAGGAACCAAATATATGCTGTCTACAAGAGACCCACCTGAGAGCAAAAGATTCACACAGGCTAAAATGAAGGAATGAAACAAAAAAAAATCCATGCAAATGGAAACGAGGAAAAAGCTGGAGTAGCAATAGTTCTTCTGACAAAACAGACTTCAAAATAAAAACCATAACAAGAGACAAAGATGGTCCCTACATAATACTAAAGGGATCAAAGCAACAGGAGGAAATAACCATTATAGATATATATGAACTCAATATATGAGCACCTAAATATATAAAAATTTTCTTAGTGGACATTAAGGGGGAGATTGACAGCAACACAATCACAGTGGGGGAATTTAACACCCCACTGTAATCACCCGACCAATGATCAAGACAAAAACAACAGGGAAACACCTTAAATGACTCATTATACCTAATGGATTTAATTGACATTTACAAAACATTTCATCCCAAAGCAGCAGAATACACATTCTTCTCAAGTGCACATGGAACATTCTAAAAAATAAACTATATGTTAGCGCACAAGGCAAGTCTCTACAAATTCAAGAAAATTGAAATATCAAGCATCTTCTGGGATCACAATGGCACAAAACTAGAAATCAACCACTATAAAAAAGTTCAAAAATATTCAAACACATGGAGGCTTAAAAGCATGTTATTAAACAATGAGTAGGTTACCAATGAGATCAAGGAAGAAATCAAACACTTCCTGGAAAAATTGAAAATGAACAGACAACAACCCAAAATCTATGAGACACATCGAAAGCAGTCCTGAGAGGAAAGCTCATAGCAGTACGGGCATACCTCAGGAAACAAGTATAACTTCTACTAAACCATCTAACACAACTAAAAGAACTAGAACGAAAGCAGCAAGAAAAGCCCCAAAGAAGTAGAAGGAAGGAAATAATAAAGATCAGAGCAGAAATTAATGGCATAGAGACTAAAAAAAAAAATGCAAAAAGTCAATGAAACCAAGAGCTGGTTCTTTGAAAAGGTAAGATTGATGCATCTTTAGCCAGACTCATCA